GTTGACAGAGGGGTGAGTTTCCTGGGTGAGAATTGCAAATGTTCCTTAGGGCTGTTTTCTGGGTTTGAGATGTCATACATTCAAATGGGCCCAAAACTTCTTCAAAATTTAAGATTTCCATGTGTTGAATCATTGGAAAGCTTAGAAACTACACTTTCAGAATTGGTAAATAACTCAAAATGCCTCTCGGAGACTTTCTCGTGGCTGGTCACATATTTGTCTGTTAAATATAAGGCTACAGCCAACAACCAGTTAGCTTAGCTTAGCATAAAAACTGGAAAGTGGGTGAAACAGCTAGCTTAGCTTTGTCCAAAGGTGACAAAATTTGACTACCACTACCTCTAAAGTTCACGAGTTAAGAAATTATATCTTTAATCTGTACAAAAGCCAAAAGGTGTACAAAACGACCATTTGAGGTTTTATGAGACCTTCCTGGAGTTTCCTCTGGTTGCCAGGCAACCTTGCGGCGATGACAAGACTCAAGAAAGTCACTGCTCCCAGCCAAGAAATAGCTGATTCGCTTTCTTGCAGAGAATTAGATGAGAAGACTGGTGGTGACAGTCAAGTGCATACGGTAAATATGGAGCTGGAGCCTGTAGCTGGTTAGCTTAGCTTAGCATAAAACTGGTTGTCTTAGGGTGACAACAAACTCCTAAGTTAAGCTAACCAGCTCGTGATTGTACCATTAAAGGTCCAGTGTGTAACATTTAAGAGGATCTATTGTCAAAAATGGAATATAATATGCATGGGAATGTTTTCATTAGTGAATATGAGAATCGTAATTTTTTTTTTTGTTATCTTAGAATGAGCCATTTTTATCTACAGGCATGACACGTATGACACATGGCAGTTCTAATGTGTTTGATTTTTTTTTTATTGCTCTCTTTTTATATTTCTATCCGTGTAAAACCCAATTGTAATTTAAAAAATCCCCAAACTTTAAGTTCACTTCAGAACAAGAACAGATTTTTAATTTCCTAGAGACTGTGAAGAGATACAAAACATTAATCCAACTACAGCAGCGGCAGTACTTTATGTAACCACTGAATTCAACTAATGATGTACCAGCTAATGTGACAATCACTGAATCAACATCCCACATCCTGTTGTTTCTTCATTGCCCTCCATGCTGTTCACTTCCTACAAAGAAGTTCTTATAACAAAGTATGTTGCCATCTCTCTCTTTCTCTCTCTCTCTCTTTCACACACTCACACACACACACACAAACCGACCGTCACTCCTGGCAGAGGGAAGACAGGACCACAGGAGAACTGTTACACACCTTTACTCCCAGCTACTCACCCATTGCTAGACGCTTTACCCAGGATGTGGACGCTTCTCTTGGGGGTCACCTTTGGATTACTGGCCTCCTCCAGGTCGGAACAACTTCAAGGTGAGGGGACTGTGCTTTTGCCCAGCAGATGGCTCTTTGTTTGGGCTTTTTTTTTTTACCTTATTCTGCCTAAATTGTGCCTGGCTGACAACACTCCTTTGTTGCCAGATTTTAGGATATGGGAGTATTGCTATTTTTTCCCTTTTTGAGCCTTGTTGAGAATTTGAGTGAGCATTCATGTAAAGAGAAGACAGTGAAAGAAAGAAGCTCTGCTGCTGCTGCTGTTGCTGCTGCTGCTGCTTGTAGGATGGATGAGTGGATGCCGGCAAGAGAGCGTGTGCTCCACCAGCGCAGCCAGACTTACGTCTGGCAGTCTGAGACTCCTGATAGACACAAAGGAGACACGCGCTCTTGCTCCCTCTGTCTCTCACACATTCACACGCTGGGAAGTGAACCTTATTTATCAGGGTTTTGGATGATCAGTGTAGCTTACACAAGCAGTACTTGTAGTAGAAGCAAAAATATAGAGCTTTTATTTCCTTTTTTTGCTGTGTTGCTACAGCTGGAGTCTCTGCTGCCACGCTTAATGCTTTATTCTCTGACACAAAGGATGTTCAGCAATCGCTCTGGCTTTACCCACCCCCCTCAATATTTCCCTCTTTTTCTCTTTGTCTCTCTCTCTCACATGTGCTTTCTCTGTAAGGTTTTGATTGGATTTGTTGCTCGGAGCAATATATCTCTGGAGGTGAAGTTGGTACTGAATCAAACAGGTCTGGGTTTGTCTGGCTGGTTCCCTAAGGAGGTAGTGGTGGGGTTGTTCACAAAGACTCCCTCTGGCACTGCGCCAAATAAAAATCAGCATCAAGCTATAAATTTGACCAGTATTTAAAGGCAAATACAAGACTACCTAGACAGCTTGTATGTGCACTGTATATGAGAAGAGGGGAAGGGGGTGTACCCACTTTCCCCCCCAGTGCTTCAACATGTGTTTGCACCCTCAAGGTTCCTTGTGTGCAAAGGAGTTGTGAGCTTTTGTGTGTGTGTTTGTACATGAATCTCTAGGTTTTGAGTGTTGAGATTAATTGGTGTCTGGCAAGAAGCATCCTGTGGTGGTTATAGGTCGTCCTGCTCCAGACGTTGTCTTTGAACCTTAAACCTGTGGCTGTGTTTCACCTGAAGCACATCATTAAAAGAAGGACTCATAGACTTGTGGCCAGGCCAGTTAACCAAGAGAGTTTTTAGGCTGTTGTGTGCTGTATGCGCATGTATGATTCTAAAAAGTCTGAGAAAAGAAAGATTTGACTGGTAACAGGTATCTTTAGTGGTGATGCAAAATACCCTAAAGTCATTTAAATTAGTTTTTTTTGTCTTTTTCCCCAGTAGTTAATTGAATTAATTTCTTCCATTTAAATTCATATGAAGCTGTGACCAGGACAAATAATATAGGACAAACTATATACTGGCAAGGAATTTAATAAAAACTCAATTTAGGATATTTCAATGTATTGCTGCATTTCAATAAGCCAGCTGATCACAGGGCTGTAAAGTCTGTTATCTGTGAGACCTTCCAAATATGCTAATTTGTCTTGTAACACCAAGTAAGTAATGATCTGATATGCAGAGCTTTTAGCACATCCAAACGTCCCTGCAACTTTATCTTATCTGTAAGCTTAGTGGTCTTGTATCTTTTAAGTTTCCGATGTACAGAAGACGGTTTGTTCACTTACGGTAATAACAGACTGAACATAACTCTGAATCCTGCTTCTTCTGGGCAGAGGATTAGTAATGCATGCATTCGGGCCAACCTGACCGCTGGACTTCCTGAAAATGTGGCCATATTTGCCTCCTTGGCATAACTACCCCTCCTGCATGCACTCGAGTCATGTTTCAAGGTGAGGGGTGGTCAGGGGCCCTGTGGACTGGGACTGGGCCCTGACAAAGAAGGCTTGTGCCTGTACATGCTCTGAGTACCATCTCCTGCCACCTGAGACTCTCAGACACGTGTTTGCCTTCCCTAGCAATGTACCCTCTTCTACAAATTAACCATGAGTCCAGATGGCCCTGCACCAATATCTTGTATAACCCCTCTTCTTTTTTAATTTTCTCTTCTTGTCCCAGTGCCTTTGACACTGATTGAACTGGCCTTCAGTGGTGCAGGGATCATCATATTCCAGGTTTCGTCTATCTCTTTGCCTGCTGTTAAACCTTCTATATACTTTTTAAAAATTCCTTTTTAAAACCTTTTTGTGACTTTCCTACCCATGCTCTCGCCTGTCTGGTTTCCCTTCTCATATACACTCAAGTCTTTGTGTTCTTGGGAAAACTGCTCAGAAAGAGCTCTGTAATGTACACACATCCTCCTGCATGAGGCAGTCAACATACTGTATCATCGGGCATAACAGCAGATTATACTGGATCTATGCTTTGATTTTATGCACAAAGGCACTGAAATGTGCATGTTGAGACAAAAAGGAAGAGGTTCCTTACTCCATTTGCAAAAAAGACACTGTACTGGCAAAATTTGCCTAAATTAGCCTTAGCCCTAGCATAAAGACTGGAAGCAGAGGGAAACAGCTTGGCAGTACCCAACATGTAATTTTTACATTTCTGTTTGTATATGAATTAAACAAACAAAATATATGTTAATAGTTGGCTTTAGATGTGCCATTTAGCAATAGAGTAGATCGTTTCCAGTGTGCATATAGCTAGGTTAACCCCCTTCCGGTTCTGAGAAATTGCATGAAGAATAATAACAAACAGACGACAGATATTTATGAAAATATATGCGCAGTCGGGCGGAAAACGACTTTTTTGTTTGGTAAAACATACCACAGTTTGACAGTTAATACAGTTCTAATAAGATCAGCCAGTGAAAGACTTGCAGTGCGAGAACTGTCTAATTTCCATGAAAGTTATTCCTTAATCTTCAAATCTGAATGTTGGAGGTCAAATGTCTTATCAGAGATCATCTGTTTGGATTCAATGAAATCTTCTTTTTAATTTAGAGGAGAGCTTTAAGGCTAACGTTTATTAAAAGGCAAAAAAAAAAAGAGGAAGTGCCCCTGCCTTTTCTATTTGAAAGAAAGCTTGGCTGCTTTCAAAAGTGTATGTGGGTGGAGGTGTAGGGAGACAGAAGGTGTGAAAAGAAATGGCACACAAGAGAGAAAAACAGTTGGTGAGAGTCCTTCTTGTGACCTTCAGGTAATTATGACACAGTTATGACTGTGTGTGTGTGTGTGTGTGTGTGTGTGTGTGTGCACAGAAACATATTTGTGCCAGATCTCATGTTTCACCTGCCCTACTGGCCTGGTGGACCTGTGACCAGTGAAGGGAAAGACATACCTGCTGACAGAGCAACTGCACTCAAGTGTGATAATGCGGGACACTGGAGCATTGTGGGGGTGATGGTAACAAGGTCCCTCTCCAAAGCAGCTGATTAACTGCGGCTAAAAGGATGTTACAGTAGTAGTGCGACTTATACAGTAGATTCTCTGTTCAAGCACAGGATTCCTGCACACATGATATTTTGAGAAAGCTTTAGTGAGAACATTTTCAGTAAGGTGTAGCTCAGAAAGACAAGAGAAAAGAGAAAAATGCAGATAAGAGGATAAAAAATAAGCCCATGTTTTGCGTGTTATTAACATTGGCATCAAGACACTGAGCATACCGGCTCCCTTGCTGTGCTCCATGCTGTGTCATGACTTTACAAAGGTTATGACTTAAAAAATTGTGTTTGTGTGCATGTGCATGTGCAACTGTGATCTGCCTGTGTGTTTGTGCACCTGCATGCAGGGGGTAATTTGTACTTTATTGCTGGCAAAGAAAAGACAAACAGAGGGTAATGAGAGAAAACAAGAGAAAAGTAGAAGAAGGGGAGGGGGAGTGAAGTGGGAGTGGAGATTCAGGCTTGTCTATTACTTCTAGAGCAGCTGGAGGTTTTGGCAAGATGTTGTGTTAAAGCTCCCTTTTTCTCAGCTTCTGTACACCCAGACTTTGCAGTCTCCTTGGTTTCAACTCTATTAGGTGACAATGGAGCCTTTGGGAGACTCAGTGCCTTGGCATAGAAGGCTTCTCGACTGTATAAAGACACCGATGACCGTTCCCTCTGCATACTAATGATCACGCCTCAGATTCATGTCAGCCCCCTTTTCAGCTCACTGACAGTAAGCTGTGCTCCCTTTGATCTCTCTGGGTAGGTTTGCAAGGCCAGGGCTGTTGTTTTGTTTTTCACCCCTTTACTTTCAGGGACACTGTGCCATGTGGCAGCATGTGTTGAGGTTTTTTTTCAGGTGTGTGTGTGTGCAAGAGAGACGGAGAGAGAGAAGCAAAGAACATAAACTGCCTAACAAAACAAGTGTTGGCACTAACTCTTGCCCAACTGCCACAAACAGCAGAGAGCTCAACTTCCTGCTGCTGCTAGTGCTCTGTTTACTCCTAACAGCCAGTGGAAAAATTGGGGGACATTCTTATCATGTCTAGTTTTTTAAAAGTCAGCTTTCTCCACAGCAAAGTGTGTAGGTGTTGCAAGTTTAGGTGAAGCTTCTTTAACTGCAGGTGAAAAAGAGAAAAAGTTGAGTACTGTTTAATATAGTGCCCCAGCATAATATCTTATTCTAACTTTAGTCTTCTTCCAAATTATAATTTTCTGCTGAATCTATGAGCATTGTGAACATCATCCGCGTGAGAAAACATAAGGGTCTGTATTTCTAGTGTATGTCTTGTGAAGTACTTTCAACGCATTTCTTACAAATCCTAAACATTACAGCTGCTGGCTATTGGTCCTCTAGGACACAGAATTCCAGTTAGTAGAAGTTGAAATAAGTTGGCATGGTTGTTACTTTATTTGTTCAAAACCTCCGTACCAGGGTACCGCGGGTTAGATTTCTACTTCTTGCCAGGCTTCACTGTATGAAGATCAAAAATAACATAATGTATTCTGTGTGGTGATTTCCTGTACAAGTCCAGTGTTGCTGCTGAATGACTTAGACATCTTTTTATTTTACAACCGATGCATCTGTCACCATGGTAGCACATTAAAACAAGCACTAAACAGTGCAGATACAGATTTCCTGTGTGTATGCACACTACAGATTAAATCGTCAGCTGTATTTATGGTAAAGGATTCTGCTTTTGCTTTCTGTTATGCAAATTATTATTTTTAAATAATGTTGGATTTGAAACCCAGTGGCACTGTGCAGCACAAAATGTTGTCATGTGTTTTCAGCACTTTCGTCAGTTTCATCTGTTGTTTCTACAGAACCACAATCAGTTTCCTCATCAGCAAAAGTTGAATTTCATTTTATTTCACATAATGGAAATGAGATCTTATCAAAAAGCTTTCAATGATCAATGATCACTATGGGAACAAGGTCATGGGTAAATATTCGGAGTGTGGGCTGTGTGTCCCTGGTTATATCACAAGAGTCTTCCCAGTGTCTGTCTCTTTCATTCTCCATGCAAATGATCCCCTGCTCTGATCAGGAAACTACTGCCTGTACTCTGAAATCTATTTCTTGCCATTTCCATTATTTTTGTGATAGACATGTGGCTATTTGAATTTTGGAGTGATCTTCATGTGTACACATACACATTCTGCTCATCTGCTTATTTGCTAAGCCTATA